GCGCAGCGCCATCTAGTGGTGCTGGAGCCCGCTGGTTCCAGGCGGTGACATTTTCAAACAATCAATATCTCATTATTAACCATAATCACAACCTGATGTTTACTTTTGGAGAAATGTTCAGCAGCAAGGGATGCACATGCACTTTTCTGCATGTTTCAGAGGCCTGCGGTCCTAAATGCCACAATGACTATTAAACAGTGTCCTGCCCATGAGCAAACAGGAGGGAGCGGAGATTGCCTGTGTATCTTTTTCATCTAAGCTGCTCACCAAAAACAAAGCATCCGTTGAAGCCACTGACCTTTCACTAACTGCTGGAAGGAAAATGCTTGATAAATAATAAATAGACCACTACTGTATATTGCTTAGAACCATCTTTTAATTAAAAGAACTGAGCAACTAGAAGGTCCGGTGACTGACATTTATTTGAGTCCAGGAAAAGCATCCGTCGAGGGTAAAACTATACCTGAAATACTGTCAGCTAGTATTCAACAAAAACCCCGTCTGTCATCTGTATGGGTGGAGGGTGGCGGTGGTGGTGGTTGGTGGTGGCGACATTTTGTAGGGAACATAGCACTTAACTTCCTGCCTCATCTGCCTTCCCTAGCAACCTTTTCGTTTCTGTGCTGCAGCAATAACCACTTGTCTGGTTCAGCATCACCACAGAAACTGCTTCGGTGCTGCGCTCATCCAATCAGAGACCCGCTTGCCACATTGAGCACTACCCTAGGAGTGACATGAAAGCCATTTCCCGTCTTTTCCACAGGAGGGCAGGTGCCCTTCCTCTGCCAGCCAAGGTGACCTCAACCAAATTGCTCACTGAACCTGCTCAGGCATCCCTCATCTCACCGAACACAGTCAAAGGCTCGAAACACATGGCTAACTTAGCCAGAGTCAGCCTTCCACCTTTTGGCTGTTCTGGAATAGAGCTCTGGGATACAGACCAGGAAGAAAATAATTGCCTCGGCCCTCCCGGCCCCACCCAAACCCGACTGGCATTTCATTGCTCCTAGCTCCACGATCTTCTGGGCGAGGCAGTGCCAGCTTGCTTTCACTGTCAGCGCCACATCGTGTCACATGCCCTCACTCCCATGTATCCAGGAAAACTGCCAGCCTGCTGTGAGTCAGACGTGGTCACGGACGAGAGCCGAGAGGGATGGATGCAGCCCAACAATTCCAGCGTGCCTCATCTGCACTCCCAGGAGCAGGAGTGGGCACCGGTGCCAGCCTCAGAGAAAATCCTATCCCACTTGAACAACTTTGTTTAAAAAAAAGAGGTCTGTGGAACGTTTTTCGGTGGCAAGCTGTCATTTATTGAGACAGAAAAGTATCATTTTAACAAAATCAGGAGTCCTTTAGGGGCAGATTATTCTGCAATATCACTTTCATTATCAGGGAACTCTCGACAGTAAGTATCATAGCAAACTACAAAAAGAATTGGGCTGGGCTTTTACAGACCCCAATCAAGGATCGGGTCTGCCCAACAAAAGCAAAGGCAGAACTGTAAAATCTGGTAAATCCAGGATCACTTAAGTATGGATATTTAGACAGTAGACGATGTGGATGTCGGTTTCTTTTGTTGGCTTTCTCATTCCTCCTGTCCTTTAACTGAAAGCATTCGCCTGGCCGGCCCCTGACATCCTGGGTCTGTCTCCACACTCCCTTGGAGAGCTCGTTCATCCTCCTCTCTCTAAATTTTGCCCCTGTACTAGGGATTTTCTCCCTCTCTCCCAGACACCTGTATCTGTCCCCCACTGGAACACTGTACCATCACCACCAACTTAGTAGGCTGGGAATTGAAGGTCTCTTCCCTGAGAGCACCAGTTCCACTTCCCCGACTGGCTGTCTGTTAGTGATACTTCTAGTCTTCTGGTCACTCAGGTTTGTAACCTTGAAATTGCAGCCTCTTCGTTATCTGACATGTCCCCTCGTTCCTCCCTCCCTGCCCACACCCCTTTCCCATCCTTACATCACTCCTAGGCAAACCTTCCTTCCGTCTGACACGGCTGTCACATTCCTTCCCTGTCACATTCCTTCCCGGCTCAAACCTTCCCACACCCACCCGAGCTCCGCCCAGTAGTTGTCACGGCCACTGTGATCTGATCACATCCCATCTGTTCAAATGGGTTTTCCACTACTTCTCAAAATAGTACTAAAAGCATTTGCCACACATATTACAAATGAGCCTTGCATTCATTATCTCAATTAATCCTCACAACACTAACTGGAAGCCAAAGAGGCAGAACATTGTCCTTATTTTGCAGGCTGGGAGGCAGTGGCAGGCACAAGGTCATGCCAGTGAAAACTGGAGTATCCAGAACTAGAACCCCAATCTTCATACCTGCCGGCTGCAGACTTCGCTGTCACCTGGACACCTGCCTTCATCTCCTTGGGCTCAACAAACCCATAAGAGGGTCTGTTCCTGAAAGATTGTTTAATGCTTCTGTGGACACAAAGGATAAGAATTTCTGCCCTCATCTACACTCTGAACAGGGAAACAGTAGTTACCGTTTGAATGAAGGCCACAGTGAATTAGGCGGGCGTACAAACAGCAGGCCAGGCATACCAACCGCAGCGAAGCGCCTTAGGAGTGCCATCGGTAGGGAGTTTGATAAGGGACTGGACACCTGATTTGAACATTAGTTTCTGAGCAGAGAGACTATTTGAAGAGGGCACGGAAGGTATGATTCCTGCAGACCACGGTGGAAGGGAGGGTGCTCCTGGCAGAGGAAACAGCGTCGATCCCACCCGCCCTTCCAGGCTCATGTGCATTCCTAGACAGGTCCAGAGCTGATCCCTCACCCACCGATCCTACCATACTTTTCCATAATTTAAAAGGATGCCTGTTCATCTTGCTGTTTCACAAGTCACTCTTGTCTTCCCAACTAGACTTCAAGCTCTTTAAAGGCAAGAATGAGGTCACACTTCCATTCTCTCCAAAACACTAAGGGGTCCCAACGATGGCTTTTACCCAAACTGTGGGAACAGTTCTGAATTCCCCAAGTAAGCTTTACACCTTTCACTATGTTTTGATCACCGGCATTAAACCTAAAGAAGTCAGTGAGTGGCAGCAGCTTTTTCCCCCATCCAGAGATTTGCTTAGCAGGGACAGTCTCTCTCCCTTCTGCCAGGCTTTAGGGTCTCCTCCTGAGACTCCCAGTCTGCTTTGATAAGATCAGATGTGGGGGGAACATGCATTATCATACATTGCTGGTGAGAGTATAATTTAGCACAATTTCTATGACGGAAAATATCAAAATTGAAGATAAGCTATTCCTCAAGCCAGCATCCCATAACTATCCTATCCCATTTGCAGCACAGTAAAACATAGAAACAATGAACATTTTCATCAGGCAATGATTAAATTAGGCATCCACACAAAGGATGAGTCATATTAACTGGAAAAACAAGAACAGTATGCATTAAGTGTCCCACATATATGCAAACCAAAATATTTCTGGAAGGCCACACAAGGAAATGGTAACAGTGGTGGCCTCAGAGGAGGGAAAATGGGACAGGGATGGGTGGGAGACTGGCTTTTTACCTTTAAATTTTGAACCACGTACATGTGGAATTTTTAAAGAATTATGCGACAAATAACTCTTAAAAGTCTTCATCATTGTGGCAGAGAAACTGCCTTTAAAAAATCCAGAAATGTAAGGTTTAGAGAGATAATGGGTGACCTGATTGTTCCTCAGAACATGGAACTGTCTCCTTCACCTGCTTAAGTCCTCTTCCCAAGGTCTGGCCTGATATTGGTACCCAGTGGCTGTCTAATGTCTTTGAATGGATGAAATGTACTTGGCCATCTACAAGCAAAGCATTCCACAAACACAAGGATAAAGGTCAGGAGCAATGTGGCTGAGAACTGCTTTTGCCTCATGTACTCATTCACCTGCATTAATTGAGCACCATGTGCAAGAACGTGTACCACGTACAGGCTGTGAGATGTGGACCGAACCCTACACCACAGTCCACCAGGAGAGAAGAGCCCGTACACAAAGACAAGTGGGTAGAAGAGCAACACAAGTTGGTTTTTTTTTTTTTTTTTTTTTTTTTGAGACAGAGTCTCGCTTTTGTTGCCCGGGCTAGAGTGAGTGCCGTGGCATCAGCCTGGCTCACAGCAACCTCAAACTCCTGGGCTCAAGCGATCCTTCTGCCTCAGCCTTCCGAGTAGCTGGGACTACAGGCATGCGCCACCATGCCCGGCCAATTTTTTCTATATATTTTTAGTTGTCTGATTAATTTCTTTCTATTTTTAGTAGAGACGGGGTCTCGCTCTTGCTCAGGCTGGTTTCGAACTCCTGAGCCTCAGCCTCCCAGAGAGCTAGGATTACAGGCGTGAGCCACCGCGCCCGGCCACAACACAAGTTTTAAAATAAGGAATTTCTGAAGCAGTTTACCACTAGGAACTGAAAGCCACTGGCTTGATGACAAATACAAAGACTACGATCTCAGAGGAATATTTCATTTATTTAGTAAAACAGAGGAAAATGAGGAAGGCAGAACTTGTAAGCACACCTTGGCCCCAGAGAGGCAGGTGGATGCTGGTGGAGAGCATCATCTAAATCAGCTGCCTCCCTCTTGGCACTCCAGTTACCCACACTGACGCCATCTGAGTGCAGTCTTTAGCTGGATGTAGTCATTCATTCATTCAACAAACATTTACTGAGCAGCCCGCTATGTGCAGGCCTACGTTAACTGTCCCCAGCACACTCAATCCATAAGATTAAAGTTATAGTCTTGGCCTTTTGTCGATCAGCAATATCAGGTCCTCACTCTTACCAAAAAGCACGAGTCACCTTGGCCTCCCAGGGTGATGGTTAATAGTTCTATAGCAAAAAGGACAAAGATTATCTACAGACAGAAACAGCTGGCCAAGGGACCACACCATGTGTACAGGTAAGTTTGATGGATCCAGAGAAGAGAATATACCAGGGAATCCGATGTAGCCAGCCCACATGCTAACAAACATCCAAGCAAGCCACTCAGAATGAGCTCCACCCAAACGATCTTTATAAAGGTTTCCTCGGGTAATTTACAATTTCAAAGTAAATTTACTTTATAAGCAGCTAGTGAATTCTTTATTTAGTAATGTCCTAACATAAAAGTTCACATAACTGCTTCTTTCAAACCATGATACTGAGTTTTAATGACAACCCAGAAATCAGAACTAAGAGAAGACAAACACAATGCCTTAGAGATTAAGAAACATTTACACAGTTCAGCTCTTAAAAATAGCTCAGCATTCACCTAGTCAGCACAGTGTGGGCGTCAGCATACACAGTATACAATCTTCAGGGCGGCGAGAGGCCTTTCGACTGTTCTTCAGGTGCCACCGAACGCTGGTCCTGTGGGACTTCTTTCTGAGGCTGGTTTCCTTCCAGCGCAGTTTGGGGTATGACACTCATGTGTTCAGATTTCCGGGAAACGTGACTACCTTCCTGTTGCTTAAAAGACCAAATATATAAGTACTTGACCCAGATGTTATCATTTGCACTCAATTAATTATCTAAAGCCATATGACTAGGCACAGTCTGTCTCTGAGTAAAAATTTAGCACTAATATCTCAGGTTAAATTATATTGTAACAAATGTCAAACATAATAAAAATTTCTATAGAACCACAATTTCAAAAGCCCTAACGATAACTCACTTGTTCCAAGTAGCAGCCATTACCACGACATTCCAGTATATTCAATCTAATAGTATTTGATCTGGAGTTTAAGAACATGAGCCAAGGTTGGGGAAAGAAAACCAAGCCTCCCTCTAACTTCTGACAAATAGGCAATAGTTGAATCTCTGTATCTGCAGATTCCACATTAGTGGATTCAACCAATTGCAGGTGGAAATTATTTTTTAAAAAATTAAAAAATAAAAAATAATACAAATTTTAGCCAGGCACAGTGGCTCTTGCCTATAATCCTAGCTGCTGTGGAAGCTGAGGTGGGAGGATCACTTGAGCCCAGGAGTTCAAGGCTGCAGTGAGCTATGATCTAGCCTGGGAGACAGAGCAAGACTCCATCTCTAAAATAAAATAAAATAAATAGATAAAATAAAATGCTTTAATAAAAAAAGAATACAACTTTTTAAAAATACAGTATAACCACTATTTACATAGTGTGTTTACATTATACTATGACACTTTATACTGTAATCCAATAATAATTTTAACAATAAAATACTCACAGTCCTTGGTTCTCCTATTCGTCTTAAAATGACACCTTCTGCCAATAAAGCCTTCCCTGTTTCCACAAATAACTTCTCTTCATCTGTTTCTCCAAGTTTCTGTAGCTCAGTGTATTTCTCCACAAACCTGGAATTCCAAGTACTCACATCTTAGGTCTGTATGTATGTCAGAGTTGTCGAGACACGCTGTTACACAGTATCAAGTATTCCCTAGACTGATCTTCCTATAGGAGCATCCCTCTCAACAAAGCTCCTCAAACTGATAACTAAATCCTTTAAAAAAAAAAAAAAAAAATGTAATCCAGGACCTGTAAAATGGCTTACCGCTGACAGGTAGACTTGAAGTTTGGATTGAACAAATCAAAAGCTTTTTGACCCGATCCATAGGCTGAATAAAATTTCCTAGAAAATACAAACAAATATAAATCTCTAATTATAGACTATGGCCAAGAACAGAGTAAAAGTAATAAAGAGTAACTACTAGGCCCTGAGGAGTTAAGTATAGCATGACCTACCTAGCCTAAGACAAAGAGTTGTTGTTTGAAATAAGCAATGCCATGTAGGCACATGGTAAATACATCAAGTGGTACAAAAGGGTGGTCAGTGAAAAGGAACACCCACTCCCCCTCTGCACGCCAATCCCCCAGTTCCTCTCTCCAGGAGCAACGCTTACCAGTTTCTTGTATTTCCATCTGGAAATATTCCACTAATACGCAATTACATATACACTATCATCCCCTGTTCCCAGTCACATTTTTTAACCCAAAGAATGGTAAACTCTGCTCTACATTTTGCCTCTTTTTAAACTGAGGTAAAATTCACACATCATAAAATTAACCATTTTGAAGTGTATAATCGGTGACATTTGGTCCATTCACGAAGTTGTACAACTATCATCTTTAATTCCAAAACATTTTCATCACCCCAAAAGGAGGCCCTACACCCGTTAAGCAGTCACTCCCCATTTCTCCCTGCCCATATCTTGCCTTTTTTACTTAATATTTCTTAGAGATCATTTCAAATCAGTGCATGTAGATTGCTTCCAGTCCATTGCTAGCCTAGACAGTGCTGCAATGATTACCTTTATCTATACTTCTTAGTACGCTGTGCAAGTTAGTCAGTAGAACAAATTCAGAAACGTGGTATTAGTGGATCAAGGTATGTGCATATATAATTAAGCCTTCCAAACTGCCAAACTGCTTTCCAAAGCAGTTGTACCAATTTACATTACACCAGTCATGTGTGGGTGCCATTTCCCCATCCCCTGACCACACTACATTCTCCAACTTTTTTTTTTTTTTTGAGACAGAGTCTCACTCTGTTGCCCGGAGTAGAGTGCCATGGCGTCAGCCTAGCTCACAGCAACCTCAAACTTCTGAGCTTAAGCAATCCTACTGCCTCAGCCTCCCGAGTAGCTGGGACTATAGACATGTGCCACCATGCCCGGCTAATTTTTTCTATATATAGATTTTTAGTTGTCCAAATAATTTCTTTCTATTTTTAGTAGAGATGGGGTCTCACTCTTGCTCAGGCTGGTCTCGAACTCCTGTCCTTGAGCGATCCACCAGCCTCGGCCTCCCAGAGGGCTAGGATTACAGGCGTGAGCCACCGCGCCCGGCCTCATTCTCCAACTTTTTGATCTTTGCCAATTTGATAGGAGAGAAATTATAACTCTTTGTAGTTTTGCTTTTCTTATGAAAGAGTTTAGATACCCTTTCAAGTTTAAAAGCAAACTGAAGTTCCTTTTCTGTGAATTGTCCATTTTTCTATTTGGTGGTTGCTAGGGACTGAATGTGTCCCCCCAAAATTCATGTTGAAACCCTAATCCTCAATGTGATGGTATTTAGAGATGGGGCTTTTGGGAGGTAATCAGGCCGTGGGTACAGCTCTCATGATGGGATTAGTGCCCTTTTAAGAAGAAACAGAGTTGAGCTTCCTTTCTGCCTGCTCTCCCCAATGTGAGGAATCAGGAAGTGGCCCTCACCGAAACCAATCAGGCTAGCACCCTGATCTCAGACTTCCCAACCTCCAGAACTATAAGAAATAAATTTCTGTTGTTTATAAGCCATCCAGTCTACGGTAATTTGTTATAGCAGCCAAAACTAAGACAGTGGTCTTTTTCTTATAAGACAGTGGTCTTTTTCTTAATGATTTGTAAGCAAACTTTGTAGCCATATAAATAGGAAATTAGTCCTTTGTCACACATTTTGAAAAATCGTTCCAATTTTATTGGTTGTCTTTTGAGTTTGCTCCTGGTACTTTTTTGTGCAGAAAATTTTAATATTTTCTTTTAGGGCTTCTAGGTTTTATTTATTTATTTTATTTCAGCATATTATGGGGGTACAGATGTTTAGGTTATGTATGTTGCCCTTGCCTCCCCACTCCCCCCCAAGTCCGAGTTTCAGGTGTGCCCATCCCTTGGATGGTGCGCATTGCACTCTTTGTGTATGCAAATACCCGTTCCCTCCTCCCCCCTCCCCCCTGCCCAACATCCAATAGATGTTATTCTTATTTGTACATTTATGTGTTGATCAGTTAATACCAATTTGATGGTGAGTACATGTGGTGCTTGTTTTTCCATTCTTGGAATACTTCACTTAGTAGAATGCGTTCCAACTCTATCCAAGAGTATACAAGAGGTACTATATCACCATTGTTTCTTAAAGCTGAATAGTACTCCATGGTATACATATACCACATTTTATTAATCCACTCATGTATTGATGGACACTTGGGTTGTTTCCACATCTTTGCAATTGTGAATTGTGCTGCTATAAACATTCGGGTGCAGGTGTCTTTCTTACAGAGTATCATTTGTTCTTTTGGGTAGATGTAGGGCTTCTAGGTTTTAATGTCATGCTTAGAAAGGCCTTTATCACTCAAATTATTTTTTAAATTCTCCTATGTTTTCTTCCAATACTGTTATGGTTTCACTTTTTACATTTAGATTTTGATACATCTGGAATTTATTTTGTTATAAGTTCTTTTTTTTTCTTTTTTAAGAGACAGGGTCTCACTATGTTGCCCAGGCTGGAGTGCAGTAGCTATTCATAGGCACTATTATATCTTACTACAGCCTCAAACTCCTAGACTCAAGCAATCCTCCTGTCTCAGCCTCCCAAATAGCTGGGACTATTGGCATGCACCAGTGGTCTTAAGTCTATAAGTTCTTAAAAATATCAAAAACACCCAAAAAAAAAAAAAAAGGCTAAAGAAAGGTTCAGTGAATTATACAAATACAAGTTGTTATTATTTTGGCATTAACGGTATTAATATTTAACCAGAAAGAGGGACCAGTAAAATATTCCACATTCTCCAATGACTTATCACCCAGTTCCAATGCTATCCACAGTAGAAGCACAAATTTTATTGTCTAAATAAACCACAAAAGCATCCTAACCAAGTGCATGCAATGGATCTGAGCACAAAGGTGCTGAAAAATATTTAATCCCCTCAAATATCTCATGTCCTACCCTAAAAATTTCCAACTAGAGCAAGAACATACTTGTTCTGCTACCTCAAACAAGTGCTATGGGAGGAAAAAAAAAAAGAGCATCCTCAAGTGAAAAGTGCCTGGGCCCCAGTGGAGAATATAGTGACCTTATAAATTCCATTTTCTTACATCCAGGAATAGTGATAAGAATCAGGGATGTATATTAACTACAATTAGGCACAATTACTGGTCTTAACACTTAAGAGAAAAGGAACCATACAAATTCTAGATACTAAGAACTAACTGACATCAGTATTCAAGGGCAAGGACTTTATCAGTAAATTCCCAGTGAGTGATTTACCACTTACTTAAAGCTCAGATATGCGTACAGGGAAGCCACATGTGGCCACAGAAGTGGTTTCTAACCTGCTGTCCCTGAAGTTGTTTCAGGAATAAATAAAACTTTGATGGTCACTCTCCAAACAGCCCTAATCCTGGCCCTTCAACACTCCTCTCCAAGGAATTTTCTTTCATCTCTCCCTCTACTAGCCTCGTGGTTCATTTGTTCAGTAATTAATCCATTAGTTTCTTCACTCAAAAGACAACTAACAAGCAACTTACATACCACACACTAAGCACTGAGGTTACAAGGATGACTATGACAATGCCAGGCCTACGGCAGTGCTTAATAAATGTTTGTTATTGAATAAAGACATGGCGTGTGTCACGCAGAGATATTAGTGACACGTTAACACCTTAACATGGGCAATATGAACAAGGTATTCAGGGTATACAAAAGGAGAAACACTAACACTGGGAGACAGCAGAGAAATATTCCCAAAAGAGTGTGACATCCAAGATGTTCTTTTTTTACTATGAAGAAAATAGAGTATTTTAAAGACATTTTAAAAGAATGTTGCTGGGAACCATTACAAGCACATTTTCTGTGGCTATTTAGGTTTGGGGGAAAATGAGAGAGAAGGAGATTAAAGAATGAATATTTCTACTAGCTTCAACACCTGATTTGCACTTTGAAAGTAACTCAGAAAAAGATGGTTGAGTTTATGGAAAAAGACTTTCCTAAACCTTCTAATCCTAAAGGCAATGAAACCAACAAAAAGAAAAAACTGGTAAACTGGAAAACATAAAACACTCCAGCACGATGTCTAGCACAATGCCTAGCATATAGAAGGCAACGCAAAAAAAAATTTGTGGAATGAAATAATCTACTTCTATACAAAAAAAGCATTACAAATGGCAAACAACATGAAAAAAATATCTCAATGTACACCAAAAGATTAATACTTTTAATTCTATAAAGAACTCTTACTGATAAATAGTAACAATTATTAAAATAGGTAAAGAACATAGATATTTCAAAAACAAATTCAAATGGCCACTAAACCTGAAAATGAAGAAACTTCTTACTAATCAAAGAAACAAAAATTAAAAACTCTAGACACCATTTTAAAACTATCTAGAGCAAAAAAAAATTTTGGCCGGGCGTGGTGTCTCATGCCTGAAATCCTAGCACTCTGGGAGGCCGAGGCGGGAGGATCACTCAAGGTCAGGAGTTCAAGACCAGCCTGAGCAAGAGTGAGACCCCCGTCTCTACTAAAAATAGAAAGAAACTAGCTGGACAACTAAAAATATATAGAAAAAAATTAGCTGGGCATGGTGGCGCATGTCTGTAGTCCCAGGTACTCGGGAGGCTGAGGCAGGAGGATTGCTTGAGCCCAGGAGTTTGAGGTTGCTGTGAGCTGGGCTGATGCCACAGCACTCTAGCCGGGGCAACAGAGCAAGACTCTGTTTCAACAAAAAAAAAAGAAAAGAAAAGAAAAAAAATTTTAACCACTATCAATGCTGACAAGGATAAAGAACTCTCAGAAACCGCTAATCAGAGTATAAAATAGATAACTTTTTTGAAACAAATTAGGTAACTACAGCAACAGCTTTAAAAATGTTCATACTGTATAACCTAATCAATTCTAGTGGTAGAAGTCTACCCTAAGGAAATAATCAGTGTTACATAGAAAGATAGAAATTCAAAACTATTAGTATTTATAATAGCTAATATCATATAAACACCATAAATGGCCAACACTAGGGAAATAGTTAAATATAGAACATTCACAATAGATTAATGTATTTTTTAATGTATAAAAAATGGAAAAGTGCTCATGATAAGTACAAAAAAGGACACAAATTATTTGTATCGTGTTATGATGAAAGTATACACACACACACACACACACACACACACACACACACACAGAAAAGAATGCAAGGAAACAGACCCAAATGTTGTTGATAATAACATCAATAATGGTTAACATTCACTGAAGGCTTACTTTGTGCCAGGCACTCAACTAAAGACTTTGTGTTACCTTATTAAATCTTTACAATTCTATGAAGTACTATTATTATATTTTACTGTGTGGAAACTGAAGCTTACAGGGGTAATTACTCAAGGTCACACAGCTAAGCAAATAGCAGGCCTTGCCTTCAAACCCTTATCTCTAGATGGTAGAATTATGGGTGATTTGTGCTTTCTTCTTTCCGTTTCTCCTTTGTTTCTAAATTTTCTACAATGAGTATATGTTACTTTTATAATAAAAGAGGAAAGAGATACCAAAGAAATAAAGAATGTGAGCACTTTCCCTCAAATTCCTAGTGATGATTACTTTCAAATCCCTTGGATTATTAGGCATCCTTCTGTCTGAATGCTTTCTAAGATCCCGACTACTAGATCCATAGAACATGTTCCTCCTACCTCCACTCCAGGAGAAGGCAGGCACAATGACCAACATAAGTTTGGAGTCAGAGATGGGACTCCCAGATCTGCCACCCTCCTATAACCACAGGAAGTTTACTTCCTTGAGCCTCACAGTCCTTTTGAATAAAACGCAGACAAGGATACCTACCGTACAAGGTTAGAGTTATGCCTATGAAATGAGAAAAGGATCGTAAAGCAGATGCGCAGAAACGAGGCAGCTATAATTGCAATGATTTGTCAGTTGCTGGACTCCACATTCCACTTCTCACAACTTGTCCTTCTCTCAACACGGGGAGCGGGGGAGAGGTGCCGATTCCCTAATTTGACTAGATATACAAGACCTCCACAGGGGAGGTCAATTCCTTATTTAAGTTACCAGACTGCTACCTAACCCTTTCCTTCTGAAGTTCTGTTGCCTCCTGTCCACTACATGGGCTGCACACTCACGCTCTGATCCGATCCTCGTGGTACCAGATGTCCTGGATGGGAGCTTTGGCTTTGCCGTAACGCAAGCGGGGCCTTCGGAAGACCGGCTCCCTCAGCGGCGGAAAGGCGTTATATACGTCATACCAGAGGGGCTTCTCCTTCAACACCCCAGCCCGAATCAGATCCCGCGTCCTTAGGGAAGGAACAGAACGAAAGCCAGTTACAACAGCCTGCCAAAGCCCCAAATCAGTCAAACACAGCCTGGGACACCAAAGGTACCATGAAGTTCACAACTTATAAAACGAGGGAGGAGGGAGAACCAGGGATGCTCCCCCACAACAGGGAAGGTATTTCCACATCCCAAACCAACCTAACAATGCTCAGGGGTTAAGTCCCTCTATCCTCCCCTTATGTGCGTCCCACCCCCGTTCCGTCACGGAAAATGCAAGGACTGTCCAGTCTGGCCCATCAAGCTCTTCCTCCCTTCCTCTTCCTAGAGACCTCCACTCGGGGTAGGGGCGTGCAATCTATAACGTCAAAGATAAATTCAAGGAGTCAAGCATAACTATTCGGAGCCCGGACAGAGAGCACGAGAGAGGGCCTCACCCGGCTCAGACACCCGCACCGTACAGAATGCCTCGCCCTGCTCAGGCCCACCCAAGGAAGAGCGTGACCCACTGAGAACCCCCGCCTGGGGTAGGCCGGCTCAGCCCACCCCTGGCTCCGAGCACGCACCGGGAGAAGACGCTCCCCACGGTTTCCAGGCGGCTGCCCGCCATGGCCAGTAGCTAGGACACAGCGTGACCAGCTGCTACCGGAAGCGGAAGCGGGAATAGCAAGCACAGGGGGCATAAGTTGCTGACCGAGCCGAAGATCGGCCCCACCGGGAGAGCGGAGCAGGCAGAAGCAAATGATGGGCCGAACTGGCGCGCTCCTGGGCTACTTGCCAGGTTCAGACAGGAGCACTCGATAGCCGAGCCAAATGGGAGGGAGCGAGCAAAAGCAGGGCAGAAATAATAAATGACCGATCTAGGTAAGGGATTAATTATGGTGGCTCTTTACCTAGGGAGCCAACTTCTTTCGAAGTTGGGGCTGCGCGGAAAGAATGTGGTTGGGGAGAGCTAGGGTGAGGCGCAACCTACCGTCCTGGGGGAGCCAAACCAAGGGAACAGTCAAGGCAGAGATTTGAAGTCAACAGCTTTAGGCCCAGACTGAGTCTAATCTTGGTCAGAGTCACAAATTATGCAGAAGAAAACTGAGGTCCAGGGGGGCACTTGCCCAGGGTCACGCTAGACCCTAGACCTCGGTCCTCCGCCTCCGGCTGTGTAGCGCTCCCATGTGCCCTTTGTCGCCTGAATGCCAACTGCAACTGGTGTTTCCTCTGCCGAGGCGTGCTGGCTAGCTCCTGTTAGCAGTTTGAAAAGTGAAAGTGTCCGGAACAGATTCCCAAAAGGAAACTAAAAACCATGGGGAAAGGAACCCCTCAGTATTAAACTGTAAAAAAATATAAACTCTGTGTGTACTGCATGGCGTACCCTTTGAGTCAGTTAATCATACTTCGGGGAAGTACCCCGTAGAAATTAAAGCATAATTTCATGAGATTATTTGTGTAAGGATCACGGTTGCAGCATTATTTGTGGTAGCAAAGAAAAAAATCCATCAAATGAGAAATGGCTGGAAAATTATGGTTCATACATTCTATGGAATCCTATGCAGCTATTAAAATGAATGAGCTAGATCCGTATGTATTTACCTAGATTAATGTCCATGATTTATGGTTAAATGAAAAAGGAAGTTACAGAGAAACACCTTTAGTGGGATCCCAACCTGTTAGAGAAAACAAGCAAACAAATCATCTCTATATGTGTTCGTGTTTGTATGAGGATAGAAACTGCAGGACACACAAAGCTATGAACGTTGCATATCTCGAGTGAAATTGCAGGAAGAGAAGGGAGAATTTTTTCTTCCTTTATATATGCCTGAGAGTTTGACTTGTAAAGAGTTTGTATTCATATTTGAACTTTTAATCCAATGAGTGTTTTGAATCACATACACACAGTGTCTCCCAGGAACCCATTATAGCACATGAAATCATCCCAGAGTCCTCCCACTCTAAGAGAGGCTGGGGAGTAGGAGGAAGGGACTGTTTGGTGATGAGCAGTTACTACTTTGTGTTATCTCCCTGAATCCACACACCTTCCCACAAGGTAGCTATTATTATCCTCATTACAGATGAGAAAGCAAGGCCGCAGGAGGTTAAGTAATTTGTCAGAGAGGCAACTGATAGAGCCAGGCTTCCAGGCCAGCCTGAGCCCCACGATGCTTCCTAAGCTATGCCTAAAGATGGAGGCTGCTGGGCTCCAGGGTCAAGAAAACTTGCCCCAGAGGCAAGGAATCCAGTGATCTGGGGTCCATGACTAAACTGGGGTGGGTTTCACTGCTGTGTCAGGACCCTCTGGAACAGAGAAGAAGGAGCACAGGTCTGGCCCCTGGGCCAAGCATGGAGTCTCCCAGTCTTGGGGAAGTCTAAAAGACCTCGCTCTGGGGACAGCAAACATGCTCCCAGCTAAATATAGTCTTCTTAGGCCTCCTAACAACTTTCTAATTCTGTCCAAGCCAGAGCTATCTGCCAGCCCAGATTACAGACATACTTGCCTTCTCTCACCAGGGCCTGCTCCCCTAGATTAGTGCATTCACTGCTGCTAAAGAATTAGAAGGGTGTATTCTACGATCAGGCCAAAGACCCAAACCCTCAATAGGGGAGGAATTCCAAGGCAGGAATTTTCTCTCTAAATCATCTTGGGGTGATCCCTGCCTCTTCCAAGCCTTTGAAGTTTCCCTTCCCAGCATCACATTTAATGTTTCTGTGACTAAGAGAACAGAATGTTGGTAGGCAGAGCGGGGGACCTTGGGGATGTGGGAACGTGATTGATTGGGAGCTCTCTGAGCCTGCAACAGGAAAGACACACCCAAGAAGCTTTCATTCATAAAATGGGAGGGTGCTGTTGTGCAGCAGGGGAAAGGTAGAATGGGCAATTGAGGCTTTTTTTTTTTTTTTTTGAGACAGGGTTTCCCTCTGTCACCGAGGGTGGAGTGCAGTGGCCTCATCTTAGCTCACCGCAGCCTTGAACTCCTGGGCTCAAGTGATCCTCCTGCCTCAACCTCCCCAGTAGCTGGGACCACAGGTGCACGTTACTGTGCCCGGCTAATTTTTCTATTTTTTTGTAGAGACGGGGTCTCACTCTTGCTCAGGCTGGTCTCAAACTCCTGGCCTCAAGTGATCCTCCCACCTTGGCCTCCCAGAGTGCTAGGATTACAGGTGTGAGCCACCGCGCCCAGCCGAAGCTGTCTTCTTGAGTTGGCACCATGGCATTTCAAGGCTGCAAGGCGCTGGGGCACTTACGCCAAGCACTGCACCAGGAACCACAATTATCTCATTCAATGATTCAACTACCTGCTGTCATAGGTAATTTCCTGACAATCCTACAGATAAGGAAGTGGAGCTTGTAAACTTTCCAAAAGGCCATGTTCCTTCCACTACGCCACTCAGCCCCATTTTAGTCCCACTGTTACCATGTTGTACAGGTGCCCACTAATCGCATCACCCTGGGCAAGTTACATAACTTTTCAAACCTCTGTTTCTCCAACTGTTAAAATATGGATGGTAAGGTTAACTATCTTCGTGGCTTATTGCAAAAGTAAAAGTGATCATTCACGTAAAGCATTCATCGCATTACCTGGCACATAGTGAGTGCTTGTGAGCAACAAATCTGAAAGCTATTACAGCATCACTCTTGTTGTGTTGTAGAATCCACCAACTGCCACCTGGATTGCAGCATTTTGATGATATTTCATAGATTGTCTTTACTGTCTTATTTTCTTATTCAATGATCGATTCATTCCACAAGCATTTAAGCACCTACCTGACTACACTGAGTCTCAGGGCATCCAACTGTCCAGTGGGGTAGACAGAGAGGCAAAGACATAAATGATAAGTTACGTACTGAATAGCTTGTTGATTGTATTAAGTTTGCTAGGGCTGCCATCACAACACCCACACCACAGACCGGGTGGCTTAAACAACAGAAATTTATTTTCTCACAATTCTGGAAGCTAGAAGTCCAAGATCAAGGTGTGTGTAAGGTTAGTCTCTTCTGAGGCCTCTCGCCTTGCCTTGCAGACAGCAGTCTTCTTCTCCCTGTGTCTTTACATGGTCTTCCCTCTGTGTGGGAAAGTCTATGTCTTAATCTCCTTTTCTTATGAGCACACAAGGCATCTTGAATTAGGGTCCACCATAATGACTTCATTTTGATGTAATTGCCTTTTCAAAGACCCTTCATCCAAATACAGGCACATTCTGCAGTACTGGGGGTTAGGGCGTCAACATATGGATTCAAGGGAGACACATTTCAGCCCATAACGCTGATTAACACATTGACTGCCACATTAGAAAAAAAAAATTTTTTTTCTTGGGGCTATGGTGTTTTATTACAAAAGTAGAATAAAAACTTCAAAAACAAAACAATCCTTTCTAATTTAATAAAAAAAATTGTTATTTTTTATTGTTTTCTGTGTGTGAGTTATATGCAACTTGAAAAATAGTTCATGCAGCTCCCAAGGTAAAGAGATGTGTGAGTTACACATGCTTCACAAAGCCCCGGGCTCAAAACAAGTATGAGTTAAATACAACTCACATGGCAATCAATGTGTTAATGAGTGCTGAGTAGCTCTCGTTTGCCCATGCAGATCCACACCCACTGTGTGCCATCCCTCACCCTGCTCTGTGCCACAGGGGGCTGACTTCTGTGGGCTGCATCCCCCAGCCCCTTCCCCTCTGCATTCAGCTAGACTCTAGCTGGTACCACCAACGGGAAGCATTGGCAGGGGAATTGAAGGAAGGAGGAGAGTGAAGGGTCTAGGCCATTCCCTGTGGCTTCCCTACACTCTGCCCACAGCTTTTAAGTAGTGCCCTATAAGCAGTGCATGGAGGTTGTCAGACAAAAAGAAGAACTGCATCCCCAAAAGTGGAACAGCTTTGATAAGCAAAAATCCCAGCATATTGGTGAAATCACGAATACTGCTACTCACCTATGGTGGAGAACCAGGATCAGGGAGCAGTTAGTTTGAAAGGGGGAAAGCAGTAGAATAGATTCAATCGCCAGTATAAGAACTGTAGGCCTACTGAGTCCGAGCACAAGGGTGCAAGGCAGGCAGGGCGGTGTTAGGAGAGGAGGCAGAGTGCCTTGTCTTCCTTCAGGGGCTTGGGCTGTGCTGCCTTTCCAGTGCTCTCCTTCCGACAGCCACTCCTCGGCTTCCTGTCGAGAGTCAATTCAGTGGGAAGGCTTTTCAGCCCCCAGCACACACTTGGCCAGACTGGGTGAGTGACCCTGATCTGCTCCCTCCTCCTGGAGCTATTCTGTCTCCCTTTGTGCTGTAACTCTGTTTACTCCTGAGTCTGTCCAGCCCAGCTTTTTTGAGGGCAGGAACTGGACTCTTTCTCCACTCCGGCCTGGTGCTTGGCCCAGAGCTGGCTGGCTCTTAGAGTTTTCCAGTGAACAGCACGGATGAATAAAGCCAAGTCAGGACAAATGAGGATTCTGTGACCTCAGCCCTCTTTTTGCTGCCTGCCCACATCTGGCCCTCCCTACGTCCCTCCCAGGCCAGAGTTCTTTGAGGCCTTCCCCAGAGACACTGCTAGGGAGAGAGCTGTGGCTGAATGGAAATAACCCCCTGCCCCACCATGCACTGGGCATCCTGGTCATTTCCACCTGTGGGTGTCCTCTGTGCCTTACTGATGGATAGTCCTATTTTACAATCCTCTGGGCCTCAG